CGTGCATGTAGATTAAGTCCCCAAAGTTTCAGCCCTGTAGCTTTTGCCGGTCTCGAGATGAAAAGTAGGTACAGACGAACACACAGACACACACAAAGACACACAGACAACCCCTCGTCAGTATGCGTTTTCCGCACTGCATAGCTGCAAAAAACGCATAAAAAATTGACTTATTGAGGAGGAAAGGTAAACCTGAAAATACTGCCATATATCCAGAAGGAGCATGAATCCTTCTCGACAGCTCACCCTGACGATAGCTTCAAAGAACGGTACCATCTGTTGAGGCAGCATTCGTCCCTTCAAAATTATCAAGAAAATGCTGGATGTTATGAAATAAAGAGATCTATTAGCAGGAAAAAAAAAACCAAAAAACGAAGCAGTCTGTAGCAAGTAAAAAGATAAATGATAGGAAGGAAGTGATGAACCTTACTGACGAGTAGAAACCATTTTTCAAGCATATTAGTAAGCTCCTTGACTGGATGAGATTTCGGGTCCGAAATATTCTCAAATTGTATCATAACTGCAGCAACGTATGCCTGAACATTACAGTTAAAGACTTTATCAGTATGAAAATCGAAACAGTCGATCCAATCACCAAAATAAAGCGCCGAAAAAAGAAGGAGAGCCGAAGCGGCACGATTACTCAGACTGAAAACTTCAGTGAGTGGTTATTCGAGTAGCTCCTGCAAAAGGAGCAATTTCAAAAAAGAAGTATCTGTGAGTTCTGAAAAAGCAAAAAGGCATGAAACTTACTTTTAAAATTGGGAAACAATACCAGAGACAAGGATGCGCACCGGCTAACATGAACATCAAATCCCAAATTATCGGGATTTCATTCAACTTTCTGTAGACCACAATATACCTGCAAAATGACCAATCTTTTTTGAAAATGGCACAAAAAAGTCAAAATTTAAAAAAAAAAAACTGCAAAAAAACAAAGAAAGAAAAAACCCGAAATTCAAGTGATAAACAAAAATGTTTAAGTGTCGGAATGACCGAAACGACATGTTGGAAACGTTGTAAAAGATTTTCTTCCGATAAGAGTGAAAACTGACCTTGAGACGGCTTCTCGGGCTTGATCCCACTCTTCCCAAATAAAATTTGCCGAACGCCCATCATTGCAAATACGATCAGTCAAGCTGATTGCCTGCAAAAATCAAACTAATAAATATGCCATAATGAAGGTAAAAAGTTCTGTTTCAGAACTTCAACGTACAAAAATATGTACACAAACATATGAAAAATCACGTCTTAGTGCCAGATAAATGCGCAGATTGTGTCCCAGAATTAACGTAGACCCAGAGGCTGAAAATTAATCTGGCATTAAGACTTATTATTGGGTAGCACTAGCAAATAGGCTGTGAGACAACGTGCAAGGCGCTTTACCACCAATTCGTGAGGAGTTTCAGGCTTCTGCTTCTGCTTATCCGTAGATGCCATGGCCTCGATGACTATTACTACTGATAAGGGGCTATCTGGTTGTTAAAGTTAAACCTAGCTAGTGACACAACATCTTATTTTGTTACGTATTGCTAAGTTACTCTGCTTTTATGCTGCGCTTTTTTATAAGGCTAAAATTAAAAGTCAGACAAATCCTGTTTTCTGCTTCATTTCTCTTTTTGTTACTACATAAGCAGTCAGATTTCGATTAGTTGAGTGTTGTGCAAGAGTCAATGCGATCGTGCGAAAAGGCTAAACATATAAAAATAGAAAGAAAAGAAAGGGCCATGGAAGCCTAGGCAAAATTAGTCATTCCAAGCAAGAATGTCGGGATTGTAGTAGATGTGCGGTGGCAATTTGCGGCCGTAGGTAGGCCGAAGAATATAAATCAAGCCAACTATGGATATTTAGTGAAGGCATGTAGCTCAGCACCAAATAGCCTGATGCAATTGAGCCTGCCATGTAGGCGTATTTCAGGAGCGCCAATAAATTGGGAACTCCCGACCAACTGGGACAGCACACCTTCAGAGGCATTAGCTGATAGCGCATCCTCAGAGGCATAATGCCCCTCTCCACTGCCTACCCACGCACCCATTTATTCCCTATATTATCTATCCCAAATGAGCACTCTGAGAACCGCGCATATATAATCATAAAATTTGTGAAGGAAAAAAAAA